CTGTTTAATGATTGGTGAAGGTGATGAGAGTAATGATCGGCAAAGACGATGGGAAGATGGAAATTCGAGGGGGGTTGGAGAGAAGCTAGGAGAAGAATTTTTTCTTTTTTTGGTTGCTTGGGGATTGATGAGGGTGATGGTGATAAGAGTGATGATCGATGATGATGGGATGATGAAGATCGAAGTCTAAGGGGGGGGGCTTGCGGCTAGTTTTTTTTGCCAAACCCAGCTCTAGGTTCCACAAAGCTGGGTTCGTGAGGAACCCAGTTTGTACCTTTCTTTCGCATTTCTTTTCTGTGATTGTTTCTGGTTATGATAGAGTAATAAGATGACGATTTGATTCTTTGATTGGTTCTCAACTTTTCTTGCAAATGAATTAAAAGATTGTTCTATTTTTTTTCAATTTGAATCAACCTCCATTAGAACCATGGATGGAAAGCTCGAGGAAGATTAAGAAGGGGATGAAAATAAACCCTAAATTCCCAAAATGGTTATGCAAATTTATTTTTAATGATGTGGTGTCCACGCGTGTGTAAAATAAGCCACATCATTAAAAAAGAGATCCACATTGGATTATTAACGATATATAGTGCCACGTAGTGCATTTTGTAACAGTACCATGACGGCACATTAAAATGTTGGGTTTTTCATGAGTTTTAAAAAGTTGAGGGTGTGAATAGAAAGGAAAAATTTTGAAAGGTGTTGACCATGAAAAACAATTAAGTGGAGGATGCAAATAGCTCCTTTGGCCTTATTTATTGATTAATTTAAAGTCAAGTTAAGTCACGTAACTGAAATGAGAAAACTATTCTAACACTTATTTTTCTAATCACAAGAGTCAAATTTAAAATTTTACTTGGAAAAAAAATCGGGTTCATTTTACTTAAATCAACCTATTCGTTAGTTCAAACTTAACTCTTCTAAGCTCGTTGAAACTCAAACTTAAGACTCGAAATCGAATGCTTTGTAGCCTTAATTGGCACTTGGCAGTCTGTTTTTGGCAAAATACACATGAAAGTTAGTATTGTTTATATTTTCTAATAATCCTGATTTATTTATTTATTTTGGAAAGCAGGCCACTTTTTAAAGTTCAGCACCCCGCACTCATCCTCCAGCCCACCAAGGGTCCAAGACTTGTCTTTTTAACATGGGTCTGTTGTACTTGGTACTAACCGAGCATAAAAGGGCCCATTTCCAAGCCCAAAAATCTCAGCAACAACTAAGCATAAAGAATTCCTGTCCAAACATTTGAGATGAGGAAGGAAAGGGGCAAATGGAAACACGCAATTAAGGGGAGAAAAATTTCCAAAAATATGCACAACCAAACAAAGCCCAATCATTTTCACTCTAGAGAAGCCCAATCCCTTACGTTATCTTTTTCCAGGCAACCAAAACCATGCCCTAATTTTCTCCAAATAGGACAAAACCTTAGATAATGTTAAGACATTATGTAATCCTGACATGTTTTATACCTCAACCTTTGAATTTAGGACTTTGGGTGGGAGACAAGGTGGTGGGTTGGGTATTTGGCCAGTGGCAAAACCCTCAAATTCATCATTAAAAAATATTGATAGAAATACATTCACCTCTAAAAAAAAAAAGACAAATTGTCATTCTAAATTATAAATCAATACAAATCATTCATTTTTTAACGAAAAATGTCAAAATTCTGTTTGCCACATCAGCATTTTTTAACGGAAAACATTGAAAAAGAGGTAATTTGTATTGATTTATGATTTGAAGAGGTAATTTGTCCTTACTTTTTTTTTAGGGGTGGATGTGTCCCTACCAATATTTTTTTAGTGTGAATTTGAGAGTTCTGCCATTTGCCAATTATATTGTTTTGATATTGTTAGTTTAGTTACAGGACAATAGATAATTATTTTCATCTTGTCTACTTAATTCATTTCATGTAATGTTCATACTTAAAGTAGTTAGTTTTCATTAAAAGAGATTAAAATCCTCTAATATACAAGTCTTCGACCAAGGAAATAATGAATTTTTAACAATTCACATGCCAGAATTCAAATCTTAAACTTTTCTATGGCTTTGTTTTTCTGAATTAGTGTGAAATTATACTTAAATTTAAAGAGTTTAGTTTAGGCAAAAAAAAAAAAAAATCAAAGATAATAGTGTGCAAGGATGGAGCTTGAGCAAGAAAATAGGGTGGGGGACCAAAAGATTTTTCAAAGATGTAACTTATAAAAAATAAATTCTTGAGGACTAATTAATGAAAAAACCTAAATGTCTACAAAGAATTTGGAAATTTTTGGGGAGCCATGGCCCCCTTGGCCTCTTCTATACTCCCTCCTTGGAAGTGTGCATGTTTGGTTCAATTGTAATTTTTGCCAAAACTTTATGTGAGTATTGAGAAAATTGTTAAATTATGAATTTATATAAAAAATTATTAAAAAAAGCCTAAAAGATTAATAAAAAT